GTTAGCCAGTGATATAAGATGATATACCGGAAGTGTAAATATAAGTCTCATTTACCTGCATAAAGAGGGACAGGAGAAGATAGAGGTTATGCACGGAAAGGACTTTCACGCTTCAGCATTTGAAATATTGTATTAAAAGTGCTTGAATTAACATTTGTGTAAATCTAAACATAGAAATGTGTTTTTTTTTTAATGGTGTAATTGGTGATAAAATTAAAATAATCCACTTTTTAACATTTGGTCCAACTTTGGCACAAATGTGGTGAATGGACCTTTTACATACAAAAATGGTATGTGTTTGACAATACTTATAAGTAAAGAGCTGAAATTTTACACACTTGCTGTCCACGTGAAGAATAAATGTAATAAGTGGGAGAGGTCAACTATGAATTATATAAAACATGACATAATAAAAATTGCATTTTTTTATTCGAGGGGACAAAGGGTTTTTTTGGACATCTTGAAGTCAGACAGCTCTGGTTGTGTAAAACCTACAGAAACTAGAAGGTCTTAGCTTTCAAATGAGATACATCACAAGCCTGTGAGTTTTATGATATTATTTCACAAGCCAATGGCATTCTTTGGTATGCAAGATGTTTGTGCACAAGCTATGAAAAGGTGGGTGTTAATGTGATGATAACATCCGAAGCGGCTGACCTATTTTTGGGTTGCTATGACTCAGGTGACTGAGATTTTGCATTTCGCCTCCTACTAACTTGCGTGTCCTCTTTTGTGGGTGTCATTCTAGTTTAGACCATAGATAAATGTTAGTATCCCCCTTGGCTTCTAGTTTTCCATGATATAATAATTCACATTCCCTTAGTCTGTCAATTTACTCTCTTCCACAGCTGCTCCTTAATATAGTAATTTCGTCTGCATCTATTATGATTCTTGACTCTGTTTTTGAAGCTCACTGCTTTCCACTGCTTTTTTGCTGACGCATCCCATCAATGTGCCTGTGCTCCTTTTATCCAAATTCGTCCTGTAAGTCTTTCTTTATTAAAATCATC